CTACTTTCAGCAAATGATAATCACAACACATATACACATACATTATTCTAGTTCAGAGCATAGAAGAGTATATAACTTAAGAGTAAAGCTAAGCGTTTAACTCAGGTTGTAAATGCTGATTATAGACATCCAAGACATAATAAAATTGTTACGTTGTACTCTTAAAGATAGGTTAAACTCAAACAAACAGCACATGGTAGGATAGCAGGTTGAGTATGTAGTCTTAAATGGTCTCAAGTAATATTACTAACTCAGCTTCTAAGTCTAAAAAAAAATTCAGTCTGTTTGCAGGCTTTCTGGCGGGGCCCCCCCCCCCCAGAAATGTTAATACCATAGCCTGGCACTTACTGTGGCCAAAGATTACCTTTGGACTTCTGATCCTCCTGCCTCCAACACTTGCAATGCTGACGTTACAGATATGTGACCCTGTGGCCAATTTCTGTGGTGCTGGGGATGGGTCTATGGCTTCATGTATGCTAGTTAAGCACTTTGTCAACTGAGCCATGTCTCCAGGATTTCTTCCACATATGTAAAGCTCAGGGATCCTGAGAGTGGGGGCAGGAGCTCAGTCGTCTGTCCAGCAGGGGATTTTTATGGTCCAGTACATGCTTTTGTGATGGTTGGCTTTAATTATGAATCTGACACAATTTAGAAACCCTAGGGAATGGAGTGTCAACAAGGGATTGCCTAGATTAGGCAGGCCAGTGGGCATCTCTATGGGGAACTGTGGACTAATGGGAAGGCCCAGTGTTCCCTGCATGAGGGATCTGGATTACATGGGAGTAAAGAAAAACAGCTGAGCAGTAACCCACTGCTCTTCTCTGTGCGTGGGACATGTCTAGTTGTTTCAAGTTCCTGTCATCCTGCTCTCCCACAATGATGCACTGTCACCTGGATTTGTGAGCCAAGTAACCCTTTTCTATCTTAAATTGCTTTTGTCAGGGTGTTTTTTCACAGTGGCAGGAAGTGAGATTAAGACGACGTATGTGTCTGCGCCACCTAGAGACTCTAATAAAAATTCCCTTATTTCCCCTGGGTGAGGCCTGGGGTGGTTTTCTTGCTTTGTTTTTTAATGTGGAGCTATTTTATTAGCATATCTTAACTGTACATAATAATGTATTTCATTGTGGTATTCCACATATGTATCTAATACATTTTAAAATTTCATCTTATATGTACGAGTGTTTTGCCTGCTTGTGTGTCTGTGTACCAGTTGCATGCCTGGTGCCCTTGAAGGCCAGACAAGGGTATCAGATCCTCTGGAACTGAAGTTACAGATGATGTGAGCTGCCATATGGGTGCTGGGAATCATACTGAAGTGTTCTGGAAGAACAGCCACTGCTCTTAACTGTGGAACCATCTCTTTAGACCCAGTATGTAATTCATTTCCATCATATTCACCCATTTCTGTTTTTTGTTTCTCTCCCAATTCTGGAGGCTTTCCTTTCATGTCTTTTCTTTGATGACTGAACAAGTTTCCTTAGGCTTACTTACAGGAATGTAGGCTACTCCACTGAATAAACTGGCCTTTCAGTGCCAACCATTAACTTTCAATCAATTTTCATGGAGGAGTGAGGTCTCATGAGACCATTAGCCCCTCCATGACAGGATGCAGGTGGGTTTCATGGAGAGTGGGATATTTCTCCCCACTCCCCTTTAGAGACAGTGTCTCACTGTGAGTTGTAGGGCAGTCTGGAGTTCTTTAACTCCCATCATAGCTTTCACTGGGATGGAATCGCAGGCATATACTACCAGGCATGCCTTGGGGTGGGGTATATTTTAAAAATTAGCATACAACCAATAGGCTTTCTTACAACACTTTTATTTGTAGTTTTGGCTGATTCCCTCCATCTTCCCCTTATCTCACCGTCCCTTCTTACGTGTTCTATTAGTTACTGTGCCTTCACCATAGACATATTATTTTGTCCTCTATAGTTTTCTGGCCTCTAACCCTTGCTCACACATTAATACATACATATAAAAATCTAAAGGTAGCATATTTGAGAGAGAACATGTACTATGTCTTTCTGGGTCCTGGGTCACTCTACTTAAAGTCATTTTTAGTTTAAATCTGATAGTATTTTCTTTTAATTATATGTATACATTGTTGTATGTATGTGCAAGTGTGTGCAGGTGCCCAGGGAGGCCAGAAGAGGGTTTCAGATCCCATAGGCTGTGGTGAGCTGTCTGACACGGGTGTTGGGAATTCAGCTGGGTGCCACAGCTGTACCAGCTTTTAACTACTAAGTCATCTCTCTGTCTCAGAGATACTTTGCTTGTGTTTTCAGTGTGATCGGCTTCAGTAACTAGTGAGTAATAGTCTTTCTAGTATCAGGGGCACTGTTTTTATTATTTTATCTTGTTTTGTTTTAGGATCTCTTGTATCCTGAAGGCTCAACGCATACATTGGCTCTCACAAGTGAGACTAAGAGAAGGTAAGAAGACAGAAGCAGCGGCGTCACAGTTCTCTAGGAAGTGTTCTAGTGGCCTCGTGGCCCCATGTCACTGAGGTGAAAGTTCTGAGGGCCAAAGTTCTCTCTGTGCCTGCCAAGCTAGGCCAGTCTGGCAGCGTCAGGGTTAACCCGAGGCCCCGCCCCGGGGATTGTCCTTGTCACGGGCCGGGTGCGCCTCTGGAGCAGCTGTGTCTCTGCGCCTGCGCGCTGCTGAGGGGACGGGTCGGACTCAGAAATGGCGGCGTCCATGTTCTACGGCCGGCAGTTGGCCGCGGTCGCCCTGCGGAGCCACCGGCCGCAGACCACGCTGCGAGCCGCCGCCCAGGTAAGTCTGCCCTGTTCGCTTTAGTCTCGGGGGTCGGCGGGCACGGCGTGAGGACGCGGCCCGGCTGCGGGGCTCTTCGCGGCGCTGGCACGGCCGGGATGTTTGCGGTGCTCAGAGGCTGCGGGCCAGGGCTGCGAGCTGGCGCTCGGGCTGCTCGGCTCTGCTCCGGCCCCCGTCCTCAGGAAGCCGGACAGGGCGTCCTGGCTGTCGGTCTCCTTTGCGGGAGCCTGCGGAGCGCTCCCAGAGGAGACTGGGGCCGTCCCTGCGGGGGGTCAACGCTTCCGGGCCCCTTTTGGGGAAGGGGGATGCCCTTCAAGTGTACTTTCAGGTCCCGGGAACCGTCGTTGGTGGGAAGGACTTCGGAACACCAGCAGAGTCGGCCTGCCTGCCTTCCCCAGATAGTTGTGTTTTGATCAGCCAGCCCTGGTAGTGAGTACTGGTATCGAGTTTTACGTTTCCCAGCTGATTAGATGGGAGAGTAAGGAAGGAGTCTTTTTGTGAACTTCATTTCTGGACAGACTCTAGGACCTACTTTTTGTTGCTTTGCTTCTCGATATTTAGAGTGTGTCATTAGGCTTGTCAACAGCACTGGAGTTGTCATTAAGGCCAGTTACCATCGATGACAATCTGGTGGCTTAGAGAAGTACTTTGGCCTAAGAGACATAGCAGACAAGACAAGGCTGAGGTCTTATTCCACAAGGGTCCGTTTCTGAAGCTGTGTGCTTGTGTCAGTTCTACAGCATTGAGATCATAAAAACTGGGTACTGGGGATGCAGTTTATTTGGCGGAGTATCTTCCTGTCATGTAGGACATTCTGAGTTCCATCCCCAGCATCCTTGTAATCCTAACACTCAAGGCGGAGGTGGGAGGCTCAGACATTCAAGGTCATCTTTTACATAGAGAGTTCATGGCCAGCCATGGCTATGGGAGACCCTGTCACTAAAGAACAAAAACAAACCAATTAAACAATACGCCCCATAAAAATTGGCCCTCAGTGTTAGTACCTTAAAACTTCAAGAACAAGATTAGCTTTCTAAAATAGAGTCTTGGTTATGTTTTGAAGTAACTACACACACAATAGTTGGATTTAGCCCCTCCTCTTCCTTAAATAATGCTGCCAAGTTTTTAGAGGATAAGGATTTAGTGAACAAATAGGTTTCTATTCTAATAGTTTTTAATCTTTTTGGAAATCCCTTTGCATCTCCCTATGGGATGTTTAATATACCATCTTTTATTTCAGCGCTTTTCCTTTTACCCTAGCATCAAGAATGTGTCTGTGGAGTTTGCTGGTCATCTGAAACCTTGCTCTTGTAGATGAGGACACAGTGTTTTAGGAGGAAACTTGTTCAAGGTCACACATTAAATTTAGTAATTCAGTTCACTTAAAGAAATTATTCCTCTGAGCAGGGTGGTGGTGTCTCAGGCCTCTTAATCCTAACACTTGGGTCTCTGTGTTTAAAGTTAACCAGGTCTACAGAGTAAGCTCCAGGACATCTAGGATACACAGAGAAACCCTGTCTTGGAAAGAAAAAACAATTATTCCTCCGGTCTCCCAGTTTTTCTATATTTATGTGGAGAATAACCCGGGTTATGACAGATATTCATAGATTTGTCCGAGAACTGGCTACTTTTTTGGGTCAAGAATGTTCTTTTTCCTTAAGTGTTTCCCTCCTCCCTCCTATTTCGAGACAGATTCAATGAGTAGCCTGTGCAGCTGTCCTGGAATTTTGTAGACCAGGTTGGCCTCCAACTTAGACTCCTCCCTCTGCCTCCCAAATGCTGGGATCAGAGGGAGGTGTGTGTCACCATGCCCAGCTTTATTTGTCATTTCTTTATGATGACGACATGTATAACTGTGGCTTCCCCTTGCTTTCAAACAGATGATACATTGTTGTTACTCATAGCCACTGCAGTAGAACACCAAAACTCTCTGCTCTTGTCTGACTGTAACTTCTAATGCTGCCCAGTCCTTGGGATTATGCTGCCCAGTCCTTGGAATTTGAATTATTAACAGAACTTTAAAAACCAGTGAAATTTGAAGAGACAACAGCTAGCGCTGCAAAGAAACAATTTATCTAAATACTTCAGAGAGTGAAATTCTTTACAGATCTGGGCATGGATCTCTGAGTTCAGGACCAGTCTGGTTTATAGAATGAGTTTCAGGATAGCCAGGGCTACACGGAGAAACCCTGCCTTAACCAAAAAAAAAAAAAAAAAGCAAGCAACCAAACAACCAACCAAACTCAAACTGGTGAAAATATTCCAACAGTAGGACTTTAATGTTTTCACCTGATTTAACATTTTGCAATATATGCTTTATATTATATATTTTTTAAGAGATCGGACTGCCTGTACCTCCTGAGTGCTGGGATTAAAGACATATGTCACCACCACCACCTGTCTCCATATGCTTTATCTTAATTATATGCATGTATCTAACAGCCAGAGACCACCTTAACAAAACCCCCAGTACTAGGCATGAGACACCCTCTTTTGAGTTGTTGGCCAAGAAACTCTGAAAACATACAGCCTATTGCTCTTGTCCTTAGTTACCCCCAGGAGGTGGAAGATAATCGTGCTCCTGAAGACACGGTGTACTTCAGAAAAGGGCCGGGAGACCTCTGAGGGATACTGATCCAAATGTCCCCTCCGTGGAGACTAGCTTTCCTGGTACTAGAATGCACCATACAAATCTTCCCAAAGGAGGGAGGCAAACTGTAGTCTTACTGTATGAATGACCACCATGGCATGAAAACCCTAAGGGTGCAATAGTGGCACACATACCATCATAGTAATCAGCAACCCCGTTAGATTTAAGACCTGCTCAATAAGAGGGAGTCCAAGCCTGAGACTGGAAACTTAGTTAACTGCTTAGTGGTAGTGAAGTTATGATTATTGGAGGAGAATCTGTCACCACCAATTTATTAAACCAGCATACTCCCTAACAACTTTTCGTGTCATACCCACAGGTAAGTCTAGTCCTCAGCCCTCCTTATGGAAACTTCACTTTGCAACGGATGGAGACTACTACAGAAAACCACAACCAATCAAAATGCAGACTTGTGGAACCCAGTTCCAGTGGATACACCTACAGAACATTCCCATACCTAAGGCTCAGGGAACATTGATGAAGAGGGGCTGAGAGACTGTAAGAACCAGAGGGTCAGGACGAGGGAGTTTCTGTGAGACTGTGTCTTTTAGTAATGTTGGAAGCTATACCGATAAAGTCTCACCAACATGACCGCTCAATGTGAGCTGAACAAGGATGAGAGCAATGGACATGCCAGAGTGAATGAGGAAAAGGCCACAAGGCTTCAGCCCCAACTCTGGGAACTCTAGGCAACTAAGAACTGCTGGAGATGGGAGAGGTAGCCCTTCACAGGGAGAGCACATCACTTAGTTGCTCAGTGCCAAATGGTCATCTCTGAGAACGTACATACAGGGAGCATTAGCTGAACAGACCAGGCTGTATTTAGGAACACATATGTATATATGAGTACATCTATACATGCAATAACTAGTGACAAAAGAGACTGTGAATTTGAAGGAGAATCAAGAGGGTGTATGGGAGAGTTTGGAGGGAGGAAAGGCAAGGATAAATATTGTAATTATAATCTCAAAATTATATGTATATATTTATATATCTATTATACCATTTCTTTTTGCTGGACTACCTGAGAATAAATTGAAGATATCATGACACTTCATCTTGTGTACTTATATGTGTATCATTAAGAATAAAACATTTGAACCCATAATATGTGTAGTACCAGCAATTTGGGGACTGAGATAGCAGGATCACTTGATTCCTAGGCCATCTCAAACCAAACCAAGACACACCCCACCCCCGCTCCATTTCCCAAGGAATAGGATCTTTTCCCAAGTAACCGTAGTATAGTCATATGGAGGAACTTTATCATTGAGTAAGTGAGTATCTAATACGGAGTTCAGATTCTGGTGTCCCTACGGCATCTTCAGATTTTGTTTTAGGAATGGGGGATCTGTTTCTGTGGTATTTCTTTCTGATACATGCAGCTAAGGAAGTACCATCTATTGGCATAAGTTCTGATTCTTTTATTTTTAAAGGTTTATTTTATTTTTATTGTGTATATATGTGTGTGACTATGCATGGGTATGTGCACATGTGTCCAGGTGCCTGTAGAATCTGGAAGAGACTGTCAGATTCCCCAGAGCGAGAGTTACATGCAGTTGTGAGCTTTTCAGTGTGGGTGCTGGGGACAGAACCTGGGTCATCTGGCAGAACAACAGTATGTCCTCTTAACTGCTGAGCCATCTCTGTAGCCCCAGCATTAACATCTGTAACATTAGTGGCACACTGTCTCCTTATAGAAACATTTAAAAGATTAGTGTGACAACCTTTACTAGGTTTATCTAGGTACTTTTTTCACCTGTATTTATTATTATTTTGAGGTATAGTTTATATACAATAAAATGCATGATTTAATTTAATGGCTAGATTGATTTTTAATGTTTGTACAACTCTTGTCACCACTTGGATAAGGCAGGTAGAGTTGTCAGCTCACAGAGAGTCCTGTGCCCCTCTCTTTATCAATACTCCCTTGAAAAGTAACCTCTGATTCTGACTTCTGCCACCACAGGCCAGTTTTGACCAGTTTGAACTATGTAAAAAGAGAACACAGGGGCCAGCAGGATGGCTCAGTGGGTGAAGGTATGTGGCTCCAAGCCTGAACTTGAGTTGGATCCGGGACTCACATCGTAGAAAGAGAACTCACTCACACAAGTTGACTTTGACCTCTTCATATGTGTCATGACATGTGCACCCACATATATAAATAAATGTAATGGAAGCTAGGCAATATCATAGAAGTTACTATTTTTCTTTGGCATCTTTGTTTCAGCATTACATTTATGATTTTAATTCACTGATGTGTGGGCGACTTCCCCCCTCTGAATGATACACTTATAATTTAACCTGTTGATAAACAATTAGGGCATTTACCATTCTGTCCTAATGTGTAAGCCTGCTGTGAATGTTATTATATTTGCCTTTGGGTAGGTATTAGACTCATTTTCTGTTGCTAATATGTAGGAATAGGTCATCAGATAGACATTCAGAACAGTTGCTGGCTTTTAATATTGGCATGACACTGAATCAAGGTATTGAGTTAGTTAAATGAAATGTTAGCCATGCTTTTATTATTTTTTCTTGTTCTTGTTCATGTTCTTCTTGTTCCTCCTCCTCTTCCTCTTCTCCCTCCTACTCCTATTGCCCCCTTCCCCCACTGTGTGTGTGTGTGTGTCTGTGTGTGTGTGTATGTAAACTCTGTGCTAATGGGGTTCAGAGGACAACTTTGTGGAATTTTCTCCTTTCACCTTTCTTGGTTTTGAGGTTTGAACTCTAGTTGCTAGGCTTTCATGGCAAGCCACTTTTACTCACTGAACCATGTTGTCAACCCTAGCCAGCTTTTAACTAGATGAATTAGCAACAAATTGCTGTGAAATTGATTGGCTTATTAGGTTAGAGGTTCTTAAACTGGCATCCTTAAGATTCAACTAAGTGGTTTCTTACTAGTTCAGATTTCTTTGAGTCCACTTTAGAGATTCTGGTTTTGTAGACAATGGAGTCCATGAATCTGCATATTAAGAGACAGTTTTCATTTTGATGCTATGGATCAAGAACTCATTTCAAGAAACAGACTTTCTATATTGCTCTTTAAATTGAACTCTTACGGTAGTCTATTTTTGGTGCGAATTATATTTTGATGTATTGGATTTCCTTGGAAGTCATAGAACTGTATAGCTGAAGCTGAGAGTCTACTACAGTGTGGCCTTGGAGGATTCTTGTGGCTTGTTTGTTCTGTATATTGCCGTGAGGTTGAAAGCATTGAGAGTCTTTAAAGAGGAAGGCAGATATTTCAACGTTTTATTAGGTTCAGCTTAGACTGACAGATGCTGGAGATGTAACTGATGTGAGTACATCCTGAGATGTGGCCTTGGGACAAGAAGCTCAAGAGTTAGCTGCCTTCTACTTCTCTTTCAGCAGTAAGGTGTGTTAGAGATTTCTTTTTGACATTTTATTGAATAAGGAAAACAGTGTGTGTATATGTGTGTTTGAAATGTCTTTATGTGTGAGGTGTATTTGAGTATTACCCACTGCGTGTGTGGAGGCCAGAGGGCAACTTGGAGTTTTGCAGGGGTTCTGAGGATTAAGCTTAGGTAGCTAGACTTGGATTGTAAACACCTTACCCTTGGAGCCACCTCTTGGGTTTTTTTGGTCATAATTCTTATGTTTTCTCTCTGTATGAGCAGTCTTTCTCATTCTTATAGCCATCTGGCATGTTTGTATACTGACTGTCCTTGTGTGCAAATACAAGAATCCAGCCTTAGAGGATAATTTCATCATTCAATGTTCTACATGCTTTAAATGTTTAACTGAATGAATGAATATTCAACATAGGTTGAAAAGGGCAGGAGTTTGTAGTTGTCATGTTCTCTTGGAAGGAGTGTGGATGGGTACCAAATATTCAGTTATCACATATCTAATGCCAGATAGATCCTAGAGGAGGATAGAGAAGAAAATTGGGAAACAGGTTCAGTTTGATGGAGAAGATGACATTAGCTTTAAAGCCTCTGTAGTTATTATTTAGGTAAGTATTTCCTGTAAGCTAGTGGAGATATGGTAATAAAACATAGGTTCATGGATATAAGACTAGGGATGGACAAGGAGGAAGCAGTTAAAAGTTACAAGGGTAACATTTGATGTTTACTGTTGACCAGCTTTTTAGTTTTATATTATAATTGAGTTACTCTATTATATTTGGATGATTTAATATAGCAATTTTGTTGTAGTAATGGAGAACTGAGCACTCTATAAATAGGAATATGTCCGTCAGTCCTCCCTCCCTCTCTCCCTTCCCTCCCTCTCTCCCTTCCCTCCCTCCCTCCCTCCCCCCCTCCCTCCCTGCCCCTCTCATAACAACAAAAAGACAAAAACCTGCCGCTGTCATACTTAAATGTGTCTCCAATTTTTTTAGGTTCTGGGAAATTCTGGATTGTTTAACAAGCATGGATTCCAAATACAGCAGCAGCAGCAAAGGAATCTTTCACTGCATGAATACTTGAGTATGGAATTATTGCAGGAAGCGGGTGTCTCTGTTCCCAAAGGCTTCGTGGCAAAGTCAGCAGATGAAGCTTATGCAATTGCCAAAAAATTAGGTACTTTAAAAACACCATAGTCACCTTGACATAGAAACTTCTATAAGATGGGAATTTTACTTTTGGTTTGATGACTTGACATTTAAATATTTTGGGAGGTAGGTTCTCACACTGCCAAGGATGACTTTAAACTCAGACTTTCCTGTCTTTACCTCCTAGAAAGCTTGGATTAGGCATGGGCTGCCACATTTGATTTGGCTTGTTTTTGAGAAGGTAGAATTTTATGATTGTTGAGACTTTACAGTTATTATAAGATGATATTGAGCTGTACTATTAGTGACTTAGGAATCATTTTATTGATGGTAGGATGCTGAAGTCCTTTTAGCTAGAACAGACTTAAGGGGAAAGTTATTCTCTTTACTTTGTAGCTTAAAGGATGGTGGTTATGATGAATTTGTTTTTTTGTTTATTTGATTATTTTTTGTTTTGTTTTAGAAAAATTCTGAAGAGAAATCTTAGCTGTTTATGTGTGGTATGGAAAGGGTGGGACTTTCTTCCTTGCTCCCAATGGATGCAAGAGAATGAAGAAGGTGAACTCTAGACTAAGCTCCCTGCTGTGTCTTTGTTTGTTCACTGATACATCCCAAAGGCTTAGAAAGATGCCTGACATTAGGTAATCAATACCTAACTAATTAATATTAATTTTTGTTAAATGAGTTCAGGAGTTGCAAAAATGTACTGGTACATTATCTCAGATTTTTAATTTTAATTTTTTTTAAGTTTTATGTTCGTTAGTGTTTTGACTGTATGTATGAGGGTGTCAGAAGCCCTGGAACTGGAATCGTAGATAGTTGTGAGCTGCATGTCGGTGCTGGGAATTAAACCCAGGTCCCTTAGAAGATGGCCAGTGCTGCTAACTGCTGAGCTGTCTTTCCAACCCCACTAGTGCATTTTTTTTAATTGAAAGAATCCTTAATAACTTTCACTAATTTGAGTTTGTAGGAGTATCTTAAACAGTTTTTGATTTTAGGAAATAAACATAAATTTACATTTAAAAAGATTTAGTATGAAAACAATGAAATAATGTAATGGCTGTCCACTCTGTTTTTGTATAGTAGTATTTGAAGTCTGTTTTTATGTAGGTAAGTAAGAAGGCAGTCATCTTGGATTCAGTTTTGATAACTGTGACTTTAAATATGTTTTGGTGAACTTTGTGTTTATTAACATTTCACATAAAATTTAAGAAATGTTTAAAATTTCATTTACCTTAGCTATAAATATGAGTTTCCTTTAAAAATGAGAATATTCCTAGATAAACTATTTTGAGTGAGATGGCCATTGTTTTTTTGACTTGAGAGTATGACTTTATTTACAATTTTTATTGTTATTATAATAAACAATTTCAGATTATTCAACAAAAGTTTTATGGAATACTAATTTCAGTGAAATGCCTGTTAATTGAGTGTAATGGATTTTGAGTTTGTATATGATCCATGGCAACAGGCCCTAACTTATTTATTAATGATGTCAGAAAAACTATCTATTTCAAATTTATTTGTTTCACT